TATTATTACATGCTTAACCCCTTGATCTGGAAAGGGGACATAGGCATTATTATGTGGGTTCATGCTATTGCTTGAACCCCACAGAGAAAAACTAGAGCTTTGGGGGGGGAATAAAAAACTTTTCAGGCAAAGTAGTTAACTGCAGCAATTACAGGAATGGTAATAGGAAAGTAATTTCATTATTTTTATTTGTCACTGCGCTAGGTAGGCAGCCTCTAAGATGGCTGCCTGCTGATAGTCACTCCTTTGTGCAATCTCTCCCCTTGAGTGGGCTGGACTTACTGATTCACTTCGAATGAATGAAATACTGCATAAGTGATGGGATGAATTACAAAAGTCTGTCTTCTTTCCTAGATACCCTCTCTCATTTGCTCACTCATTACCTGGAGAGCCAGGCACCATGGGGTTGGCTCCCCTAGGATGAGGCACAGGTGACAAGCACTGAGATACAGTCAATGAAAAACTGAAGCCCTCAATCCTATGGTTCATGAGGAACAGAACCTCCCATTAACCACGAGTAAGCTTGGCTACCCTTCCCCAGCCAAGACTACAGATTAGATTGCAGTCCCAGCAGACAGCTTGATTGCAACCACAGAGAGATTCTCAGACAGAAGCACTGAGCTAATCTACACCCATATTCTCATATCCTGCAGAAACTGTGAGATGGCAAATGTTGGGGTTTTATTTTAGCCATTACATTTTGGGGTAATTTGTTACTCAGCAATTGATAACTAATACATGACTCTTCCCACAGTAAAATTAACCCAGAAATAACATGACATACTCAGTGATGGGGAAAAAGGGGCACTGCTTCCCTAGCTTTTGCCCTTGAAATTATTAATCAACCAAAACCCCTTTTCTTGCTGGATGTTATCTTCTCAGCATAACTCTCTAGGTAGCCATTCTTAATTAATTAGTTGGGCAGATGAGAGAAAAATCTATTCACTGTCCCTTGAACAATATAAAGAGGAGACTTGGAATTACAAGCCTGATTTCTATTTACAAGCCAAGAAACTTTGGGAAAATCATTCATACTCTTTGAGCTTCATTTTCCTCTTCAATAAAATGGAGGTAATCTGTTTGGATGCTCTGAGGTGCAAGAAACAGAATACATAGCTAAGTAGCCTAAAATAGATCTCTCTTTTTTCCAGTTGGCCAGCTTTCCCTTATGGCCACAAGATGGTTATAGCAGCTTCAAGCCTCACATCCTCCTAAAACAATGGCCCTATAATGAAATGGAAGCATTCTTGTCTTCTGGTCTATAAGTAAAGAAAACTGCCCAAAACAATCCCCAGCAGAATTCCCTAGACATTATATTGATCAGACCTGGCTTATACCCCCTGAGGTGATTGATCACTGGCTGAGGGGATTCAGATTACCGTAATCAGCTAACACCACCCCCATTTCACCCCTGAGGCTCTGAGGGGCCTAGCTGCCTCTGTGGCTGATGGCCATCCAGAGAAAAACTGGCAAAATCTGAGCTTCTGGGCACATAAATTAAAGAGGGGGGGGGGTGTTGCTGTTGGGTAAATGTGTTAGTCCATGTAGGCCAGGTTATAGAATATATAATAACCTAACTCACTCTACATGCCCAGCACAAGTCAGTCGGACAGGGCTGACAGAGGCTCCACCTCATCAGCACAGGACCTCAGGATTGGCTATAGCACCACAGAAAATCAGGAGAGGCCTTTCCTGCTGTGTCATTTTCACTCACATTCCTTTGGCCAGAACCAGAGAATGACCCCACTTAACTGTGTGGGGGCTAGAAAGTGTATTCTTCCATCTACCGGAAGAAGGAAAATGAAACAGGAATGGTTTTGACCCCAGTAGGCAAATAAGACTGTCTGCAATAAAGCCTTATCTCCTCATATGGTTCATGAGGTTCAAACAAGCTAATGTATTTACTCATTTCTCATTCATTAAACACATAAGATCTACCAAGCCATAACCGGTTTGGCTCAGTGGATAGAATGTCGACCTGTGGACTGAAAGGTCCCAGGTTCGATTCCTGTCAAGGGCATGTACCTTGGTTGCAGGCACATCCCCAGTGGGAGGTGTGCAGGAGGCAGCTGATCGATGTTTCTCTCTTATCGATGTTTCTAACTCTCTATCCTTCTCTCTTCCTCTCTGTAAAAAATCAATAAAATATATTTTTAAAAAAAGATCTACCAAGCATTAGGTTGGGAGAGATCAATAAGACACAGTCACCACCCTCCTTGCAGATACAACCATGAGAAGGTGATCAAACATCTGAATGTCAGTCAGAATTTGTTTGCCCTTTTCTTTCCCTTCCAAGTCCATAGTGCTCACCTCACATATTTTGTCTTCCCACCATTTGTTTCAAAGTCTTTTCAATGTTATTAAGATGGGTCATGATCAGAAAAGACAGAGGATTAATCTGGAGTGCCATGGTGTGCAGAGATGTGTGGCAAACATCAAGAGAACTCCATAGGCAACTCTAAGATGTCATCTTTTCCTTGATCTCCTACAGCTCATGGAACATTAGAAGAATGGGCTATTGTATTGTTTCTTTCCAAATCCCTTTCTGAGTGGCTCAGTTGCGTCGTGAGAGAGAAGACATTCCTGCTTGAGTCAATTCTAAAAGTTCCTTCACTTCCTGAGCCCTCATGAGTGTCAGCTTCTTGAAGAAGGTGTCATGATACTGTTAGGGTTGGCTAGTCTGCAGTTACAGAGAGACCCTAAAATGTTAGTGGCTTCATGTGAGCTGCTTAATAGGATTGCCTGCTCAGTTCAGGTCTCTACAGTGAGTCTTCTTCTTCAGAGACCCAAGCTGATGGTGGTTTTGCATTTTCAGCTGTGGTTTCTAGGGTTTCTCTGGGCATTGACAGGCCCACAAACCAGGGAGGAAAGCTCATAGACAGTGCACAAGGGATATTTTCATTGGGCTGAGCCTGGAAATGGCATCCCTCACTTCTTCCATGTACCAGTATAGAGCATGCAGTCAATGACCACACTTAGCTATAAGAGACGCTGGGAAATGTAATTTAATTGTGTCCCCAGGAAGAAAGCAAGACAGATTTTGGTGGACAGCTAGCAGTCTCTTCACACTCACCCACACAACTTCCTATTTTTCAACTTGGCAAAATCTAAGCTCGTGGAGTATTTCTATATAACAATGTACTCTTTGGTTTGCCCAGGCAATGATCTTCTGGGAGATAATTCATAAACATTATAGTGCAATTAATGGGCAGAGACCTGACCCACTGCCCATTTTTCCTGTCATATTCCTCCACCAAAATTCTTGATCAGGTCCTCTCATTCTAGAGAGATAATCTTGAGACTATGAAGAGATCTCAAAAAGTGATCATTTCCAACGTAGGGACAAACCAACAAATGCTTCCAATGAAAGAATCATCCTTTTCCAAGTGTGATCAAAAGAGAAAGGCTTAGGGGAGAGGTGTTTCTCTAAGCATCTTCCTTTTATTCATTCATTGAACAAATAATTATTGAGCACCCAATGCATGCCAGCCTGAGTACCTAGTCTGTGCCAGACACTATGTCAGGTACCGGCAGTGCACTGATGAACCATACTGGCATGATCTCCTGGACCTTATAGTCTAGATTTTTTAAAGTATACGGGAGTATAAAGTAAGTACATACTGTGATAAGTAGTCATAAAAGAAAAAATGGGGCAAAGGCAGAGAGTAATAGCAGAGGTTGGAGGGATGACATGTAAGTTAAGACCTGAGGGGTAAGGTAGTAGCCTGCAAAGACAGTGGAGGAGGAGACAAGTACATGCAGAGGGCACCACATGTGCAAAGGCCATGAAAAGGGAAAGAGGTTGTTGTGACTGAGGAACAGAGAAGTAGCCGGTGTGGCTGAAGATGACGAGGGAAGAGCTCGGAGATGAAACTGGAGCAGTGGGTGGGGGGCAGATCATGAAGAGTTTTGTCACTCTTGATGAGGACTTTGAATTTGAATCTAAATAAAACGAGAAGCCATCTGGGGCTTTAAGTAATAGAGGGATATGATTCTACACTACATTAGTCTGCTAGGACAGCCATAACGAAGAACCACAGACTGAGTGGCTTAAACAGAAAGTTATTGTCTCACAGTTCCGGAAGCTAGAAGTTTCAGGTCAAGATATCAATGGGGTTGGTTCCTTCTGAGAGCTGTGAGGGAAAATCTGTTCCATGCCTCCATCCTAGCTTCTGAAGGTTTGCTGGCAATCTTAGCATTTCTTATAGAAAGTGTTCCTTCTGTGTCTTCACATCATCTTCCTTCTGTCTCTCTTTCTCTCTACATGACACTCTTTCTATAAGGACGCCAATCATATTGGATAGGCACCCACCCTCCTCCAGGATAACATCCTCTTAACTAATTACACCTGCAATTACTCTATTTCCACATAAGGACACATTCTGAGTTGCTGGGGGTTAAGACTTTAACATATTAATGGGGGAAGGGACACAATTCAACACAAGACACACGTGTTTTAAGATTACTCTCTGTTCAGTATGAATGGGGAGGAGGGGTAGTTAGAGTAGAGGTGGAGAGGCAAGTTAAAAGGCTGGTGTCATTGTCAAGATGAGAGATGATGTTTTCCTAGGCTAGGTGTCCAAGAAGATTTAAGATATATTTTGTTTCCAAAATGAGCATGACTGTTGATGGGTTTTATTTCATTGGTGAGCGAAAAGGGTGAATCGAGGATGACTCTTAAGTTTCTGGCTTGCGTGAGAAGGAAGATGCTGATGCAATTTATGAAATAAGGAGGAATGGGGAATAGAAATGTTTTAGGGTAGAACCCCAGGATTTTATTTTGTGATATAATTAAGTACATAGACCAAGCAGACAGTTGCATTTAAGAAACTGGAGCCCAGGGAAGAAAGCTGGTCCTGACAGCTTGCGGCTGGGGGCAGGGACTGGGAGGCCAGGCATCCGCACTGACACAGGCTAGCCTGGCACCACTGGCTGCCCACTCCACTTCCGCATGTTGGGGGATGGGTGGCCAGCCCCTGGAGGCTTAGCCCAGCCTCACCATGGTGGATGCCTTCTCGGGCACCTGGAAGATAGTGGACAGCAAGAATTGCTATGACTACATGAGGTCAATCAGTGTGGGTTTTGCTACCAGGCAGGTGGCCAATATGACCAACCCTACCACAATCATCGAAATAAATGGGGACAAGATCACCATAAAAACACAAAGCACCTTTAAGAACTTGGAGATCAGCTTCAAGCTGGGGGTGGAGTTTGACAAGACAACAGCAGACGACAGGAAGGTCAAATTCACTGTGACCCTGGATGGAGGCAAACTTGTCCACGTGCAGAAATGGGATGAGCAAGAAACAAAACTTGAGCTCATTAATGGAAAACTCTTCCTGACGCTCACCCACGGCAGTGGAGTGTGTACGAGCACCTACGAGAAAGAGGCATGACCTGCCCACTGCTTCACTGACTGCTCCTCTACCAACTGGCTACCCCTGGACTCAGCGCCAGATCACTTTGTCTTTTCCTCTGGTGTTGTGTATAAATCCACCTTGGGGGCGGGGCGGAATTCTTCTGGGGCCAGGTGCACCATCCTGGATCCAGTTCCAGTTCCCATGGTATTTGTTTTTTAACTGCATTCAAAGAGTGCTCTGAGGTCAATAAAGCAGAGCCAAGGCAAAAAAAAGAAAAAAGAAAGAAAGAAAAAGGAAGGAAGGAAGGAAGGAAGGAAGGAAGGAAGGAAGGAAGGAAGGAAGGAAGGAAGGAAGAAAGAAAGAAAGAAAGAAAGAAAGAAAGAAAGAAAGAAAGAAAGAAAGAAAGAAAGAAAGAAAGAAAAGAAAAGAATCTGGAGCTCAAATGAGAAGTCGTGCTAGAGACACGAAGGTAGAGTTCTCAGAATATAGAGTATTTAAAACCACTCAGAATGGTTGACGTATGAAGTTCCCTTCTCCCAGCACATCTTGCTCCTCAGCCAGCTCCAGCAGTACTTGTCTTTTATCTTGATGTCTCCATGTAACAGCCCACGCCTAAAGGAGGTTTTGAACCAAAAGCTCAGAGGCCGTGTTGCTCCTTCTCAAGGCTGGCAGAGGGCTGAGAATCCTGCCTGCTTAATGTGCCAACCCCTGGTCATTCCATCTCGGTCTCTCTAATCATTGAACACCCAGCGTGTGCCTGGCTGAGCACCTCGATTCCATGGGTTCTTGGCTTCTGGAGAAGATGAAGACCGTGCTCCTACTTCTCTCCCAGGTTCACACAAAGCGTCCGTCATTGACACCCAAGAACACCCACACAGCCCAATGCACATGTCCACCTAAATCACATGAACGATGGTGAGTGTGCCTGCACGCACCCCGTCCCTTCAACAGAAATGACCTAAACTTTGTGAGGTTCGCATGTCCCTAGAGATGATCTCATTTGCCTGCTTCAAAAGCGCTTTGGTCTGCACAGCCTGTAGCAGCAAATTTACACTTCAAAAAGCAGACAGCTTTTTCCACATCTTATTCACTTAATGAGTGAGAATGCAAAATTAGTTCCGTTGCTGATGAGGACCTTGAGCCAAATGAAAAGTGTTCATTTGTCAGCACAGGCTTACAGCCCGAGACGTGATTGTATAGCTAATCCAATAACGGGTTTGGAGACTGAGCGTTTATTTATATACAGTATGTCTTGTTATCTGTTGATAATCAGGACCTACAATTTACTCTTCCTTGTGCGTGTAGTGTGAAATAGCAACATCTTCCAGACATATTGCATTTAAGTACCAACATGCAAACATATACCAAAAGCACCACCATCAGCAAAATATTTTTATTTGCTTTATTTTATAAAAGAAAGGAGAACCAGTGCTTGAATGCAGGCTTTTATGTTTTTTAATATAAATAGTAAATGAGGTTTTTCTCAGAAGGGTTTTAAAAATGAAAACAAGGTGTCCTTACCACCTTGAGCCACCCTCATCAAGTGACTTCTTCTTGTTCTCTAAAAATTCTATCTTCAGATTAGACCCCACACATATGTTTTCAAATGTTATAGAAACTGAAAAGGTACGTGGTGGAAATCTTCGCGATGCCACCACCTAACTCTCTGGCCACCTGGATCTTCCAAACGCTCTGCTGGTTGCAGAGATGCACAGTATCGCCGCGTGGGCATGAGAGCTGTAATAATTACCTCAGGCAAAGCCTTCCCTTAAAATATAGTAACTTAAAATTAAATATAAAGCCACCACATTTCTATAAACTCTTTCAGGGACTACATACTGCTCCATGATATTGTTTCTTACCCTGTGGATGAGCATAAATGTCTGTCACTAAAATATAGGGACACTTTCGGCCTAATATAAACACAAAATGCATAAAATCCAGCATTTAAAACAAGCAGGCATCTTGATGGGGATCGTAGAGTGGGATGCATTGTAATGTACCCGGCTATAATGAGGCCGGTGGGAAAGGAGAGGCAGGTCCGGATTAAGTGTTCTGTTAATTGCAAATGTGCAGCACACCTGCAAAATCTGCGAAAAATCCTACAACACGTGGGGAAAGTCAGTGTAAGTCTCTTTCCCTGCTACCATCTCTTGGACGGGCCTAGAAAATTCCAGAAAAAATGCAGAGAAGCATCAGAGAGCCGTCATCTCTAGTTGCCACTTTTCCCCACTTAGCAGTCTCCAACCCCATTGAAGCTGAAAAGGACCGGTCACTCTGTGATATATGAGAAGGAAGGGGGGCAAGTGCACTTTTTAAGCTGAAATTTATTCCGCAATAAATACTTCAGTGTTGGTGCGACGTGATGTTTTATTGGATTATACCAGTTTGCTAAAGAAATCACATTGGGAAAAGCAAAGCTTGCGGTTTTGTGGGTAATGCGTTCGTAATGTGAGGGCTTTACACGGGAAGCGTGTTGGAGAAGGATAACAAGGCAAATTCGAAACTGGCTCAACGCATGCAAATCTCTATTATGGTAATACTTGGCCGCCTGAGTCCAAGAGGGTTTCATGGTGGCTGTGGTACCCAGGCTGGATAATTCACTAGGTTTTGTCTCCGGTGAAGAATAAATGAGTATGGCATACATTACATCCTTACTTTCGTCTCAGAAACAAATCTTTCTTGTACCAGCCAGTGTAATCTTCGGAGTTTTTCTTCTATAAAACACCTCAAGAAAAATGCACCTCAGTAAGATCTACGCTTTATTACTCTAATGATTCTACAAACACTACCACAATGTGATGAAAGACAGAGCAGTCCCGGCCTGATTGAGAGCTAATAAAAATCAGTACTGAAAACTGCAAAGAGCACCCTTATCATCTTTCTTTCATTTAGAGCTGATTACTAGGGGATTATAATGCAATCACAGCTATGTGTGAGAGGTAGCTATGGGAACCAGTTTTAACTGTTTATCTAGCCAAAGATCTTAATTTAAGTTTGAACACTCTGATTCATTTATATGTAAGACACCAAGGAGACAAAATGCAGAAGAAACAGATGCGTACTTGTTCTTTCCATTTAACTTCATAAGCTACCAGCCAATTTGTCTTTCAGGGACAAAATTAATTTCTGATGACAATGTGAGCAAGTAATAAACTAGAAGTTCCTGTCCTGGGAAACTTGTTAATGCCATGTAATGTTCCTGTGTTATTTAGGAGGGGGAAAGAGATTTGCTCCTGGAGTTACGGGGACGTCTGTAACAGGCTTGCCTTTGTCCCAGCTCTTAGTCACTCCTGCAGGTTTATGACACCTTTTCTAGAGGGTGAGTTGGGAAAGTTCAGAAGAGACCATGTTGCTTACCATTGCTTCCCTCTGGAGGTTTTATTTAACTGCTCATTTTCCTTCATACTCTGTCCATGACTCAGATGTGCTCATAGCACAAGCCTCCAGCCTGGGGCTTCCCAGCCCTGGAGTTGGGGCAAGGCAACCCATGAGATGAAAATGAATCACAGGACCTCCTGCGTGGAGCCCATGTTGCTAATAGGACACAGCCTTTTGCTCACTCCATGAGCAATGCAGTGGCATGGCCAACGCGCCACGGAAGAACCTGGGTTGTGTGTGAGGAAATCCCAGTGATGGGATTAAATCCACCGCCATCCGGAGAGAAGAGCACCTGCATGGTTGACAAAGTGCAGGCACATGTACACTCGGATGGGAGCTAGGACTGGCAACCACCTCAAAAACAGCCCAGGTATCTATCTGTGCCCTCATGCCAGTGCTAATAACACTACTACTACTGCTAATAATAGTAGTAATAATCCTATATAATAAAGAGCTAATGTGCAAATGGTCATCACACCCTCATGTTGTCACACCATCATGCCGTAACTGCTCAAACACTCAACACTGGGGAGAGAGGAATGGGGACCAGCCAGGCTGTGGCCTGGGAGAGGGACAAGCTGCCCACCCAAGGTTCCGGGTGCCTGCGGCTACGGCCAAGGCGAAGTGCCCGCCCACAGTCCCCTGTAGCTGCCAGCCCAGGTCCTGGGTGCCTGCAGCTGGCCAGAGGGAGGGAAGCCCGGGTTCTGGGTGCCTGTGACCAGCTGGAGGAGGGAATCCTGGGACCTGGGTACAGGGTGAGGCAGAGGTGATTAGGAGTGATCAGGACAGCAGGGGAGCAGTTAGAGGCAATCAGGCCAGTAGGGGAGCAGTTAGGGGTGATCAGGCAGGCAGGCAGGCAGGCAGGCAGGCAGAGGTGGTTAGGAGCTAGTGGTCCCGGATTGTAAGAGGCAGTCCAACATCCCCGAGGGGTCCTGGATTGGAGAGGGTGCAGGCCGGGCTGAGTGACTCCCCCCCCCCCCCGCCCATGCATGAATTTTGTGCACAGGGCCTCTAGTAATAATAATAATAATAGTAATAATTGCAATAATAGATAATAGATTGCATTTATTGAACACTTATTGCATACCAGAGAGTAAGGCAGACATGCTGCATACATCATCTCATTTAATTAGCACAACCACCTTTGTGGGCATCATTTTTATGGCCATTTTATAGCCTGGAAAACTGAGTCACATAAAAATTAACTTGTCCAACGCCACAGCCAGCAAGTAGGAAAGTCAACCTTTGAACTTGGTCTGCCAGTCTCCAAAACTTATATTTTCAAGCACTCTCCTAAGGCAAACCTTGGCAATCTTCTTTATCTTGGCTGGTATTATTTTCCCATCTCATTCGGCATCCAGTTTTTTAGTATCCCTGGATTATGTTCCTGCCCTAATCCATAGCTTCTGTGGTCTTTCTGCCCCCAGACTTCCTCAGCCAGTATTTTTCTGCTCCCTGGGGGAACTCCCTACAGCATAATGGCTGTCCATTAACGTGTTTTTAAAACCTCGCTTTCTCGCATCCTCTGACAGTTTTCATATGCTCCACATGAAGGATCCTTTTCCAGAAATACTTTTGAAGAAAGTCTGAAGTAAGCTGAAAAGTATTACATTTTTTCATCTCAACAGGGAAATGGATTTAAGAAAAGGAGAGAA